ATCACACAGATATGTTTGATACATCGGATAACAGCCGCAGCAGATCCGGATATCGTTACCGAACGCTCCGTTGAGTTTGGCATCAGCTCCCCAGCCACCTGGATTGAGGCTCCTGTAGTCTAGAGTTTCGATCATAAAGCGGTTCTGTTGTAGATTAGCACTCACTTCTCGGATCATTTTGATTTTCGATCCGCCCTTGCCAATTAAAGAGCCGCATTGATTAGCTGGGATAATTAAACGGAATGTAATCGGTGGAGTGGCTACAATATGAGCTTGGCTTTGGTCCTAAAATACAGTACCTAATAACAGATTATGGTACATTGCTCAAAACGAAGAAGGCAACGTCGTTTCACGTTTCTAAGCAAAAGATTATGTCCAAGAACTGTATCGCCGCAACAAATGAATCAAACTGTTTGTTTAATCAATACTTGTCTCTACAGATTATAGTTGACACGATTCATTGGCTCATGAGAATCTCATGTTACCAACTTAAATCAATTGCGTTGATTTTTTATTCAGTCATTTTCCCGTGGAGAATGACGTAAAACAAACTTTTACGTAAATTCATCGTAAAGGTGATCTCGTTACACGAGTATGATATTTCATTAAATCAATTTGTCGACTCCTTTTGTGCTGTCACGTGAGAGGACCGCAACTGCATGAAGTGAGGTTGAGAAAGGCAACATGATCAAATATCAAATCGAGGCATTCATATTCTTCAAGAAGGCTCCTCCCTGTGCATTATCGGCAGCAATTCGAAGGTGAAAGTAGAAGCCCTAAAGCTCAGCAGCCCGCTAATTTATGGTGTTGAAGAAATGGCTATCAAAATGGCCATGTATTTTTATGTTTGACCTGAATTCATACCTGGATACGCACAGCAAAACAAGGTTTCACGACTGTGACGAGTCAAGGCAAAATTCAGGCCAGGGCCGTTGTGAAACTGTCATATATGAGCAACTTCTTTTTCAGACAAAGAATCACCACTGCGATGCTGTAGGCAAGAACTGAGGATGCTAAGAGACAAACTAACAGTCAACACCCTGTCGTTTCAAATCCAAAACCACATAGCATGTGTTCAAGGGCTGTATCGAAGGTCAAACTGCTCATATGGAGTGTCTGATATGTTGTACTGTAGCACCGTCTCTGTGAAATTTGCTGAACGGCACAGAACCACTACCATTAGGAAAGTTTCCTGAAGTTGCTGCAGAGCACCTGAAAGATATAGCGGACTAATAAAACGAACGAATAAAATAGTTAATTACTTTCCTCGTTGTGGAATAATAGTTTTTAGAGTAAATAAAGAAATTTAACAGCAGTTGAAGATGAAAATGAAAATTTTATATTAAAACGAAAGTAATGTTAAAAGGTTTGTCAGAGTTTCTAATTATACGTGAATCTGTATTCTGTAATAAAAGATTATCAATCTTTTAAAAATTCTAGTCCATTTAATGGTAACCTAGCATTAAATATTATTCCTTATCATTGCTATTGAATCAATTAATTGATCCGCTCTGCACACATAGAAGGAACGTTGGTAAACTTTGCAGGCTAATTCTTACCTCCTCGAATTTACGACATATCATGGTAAAAGCCTTGGTAATATTATGTACGCTGCCCGTGATGGTGACGATCCGTTCAGCACTGGTGCTGTCAGAGATGTTGATCTTCGCCATACTCTGGAAATGCACTTTCTCGAGTATAGTAGTTTCATAAATGGACGAACTTACCTCATCTCTAATTGTTTTTATATGATCGCCCTTCTAGAAACAGCAAATTTCTTAGAACGACATAATACACAATATGAACACGGTTTACCTTTCCGATTATGCTTCCAACTTCCTAAAAAAGAAAATTTACTTTCCAGTAATATCTTCAGTCATAATGTAAAAAAATAATTACAGTGCTAATTGAAAGATTGAAAGCTACATTACAGGATAAGTGTGTGGAAGTGTAAAAGTCTTTCTACAATAATTTACGTTGACACATTTCTCTGCCCTTTGCCCAGGAGTACATTGAACTCAACATAGTCAAGTCATAAAACAAGTTAACTTTATAGTGAACTGATTCTCTCTAAGAATGCTATTCTGACAGGAGAGAGGTATGGCGCATCTCGCGATACTGATGACATGCAGGCTGCATCGCTGAAACTTGTTCTTTGCAGGAAACTGATAGAATGGTATGAATTAGGTCAAGAACACTCTAGCCCCAACTGCCTGATCGTTAGGTCACAACTCGACCTTGTATCAGTCAACCAAGCATGTGCCGTACATCTGAACCTTAAGCAGAAGAGTTCGTCGAAAAGTATTGCAAAACCCCTGCTTTGCGCTGGCGCAGACAATCAGATGATGTGTCTGCCCAATGTACCCCATCAACGCTTAAGAATATAACAGTGGAATAAAGCTTCAGGACAGAAACGGAAGAGTAGAGCATGAAACTTAGTAGACTGAACAAATTTCTGGTCTCTGAGTGGAAACGAACAGTAGCTGGTTGATGAATCAGAGCTTGACCAAATGAATATAAGTGAAATCACTTCCATTACACTTTATCGAAGAAATTTCCATTATGGGCGCACCACAAAGGCAAATTGGCGATTACCTAGCATTCTCTGTTCTGTGCCCTTTACCTGCATTTTTGGAGAAGTAATTCCATCATTGGGTCATGCAGGCTTTGTATCGGATCACACTGGGATATTTGTGGTCCAGCGGAGTCTGCCCAGCGGATTTAGACTTCTTCCAGGTGCAACTGAAGCAAGCGATGCGATTGGCGAGTCTTCTATTGACATACCAGACATTACGCTTATTAGTTCAGTCTGTTGTCGAATTTGCGTAATCGGAATGTGACTTCTTGCTTACTCAGTGCTTACCTACGGTCATGAGTACTGGACCATGACTGAAAAGATTCGATCTGGGGTAAAAGCGGCTGAAATGGGCTTTCTGAGACGAGTCGCTGATAAAACGTGTCTCGACATGATAGAGAGTACACAAATCCGCGAGAGTCTTGGTGCACAGCTGCTGCTTTTTAGATTGAGAAGTCGCACCTACGATGGTTTGGGCACGTATTGCGAATGCCTGCAGAAAGGAAGGCGAAGCAACTACTGTTTGCACAGCCGACCGGTGGAAAATCCAGTTATATGGAAAGAGTCTGCTCAAGATTCCGATTGTCCTCTGAGGAAGCTCAAACTCGTGCACAGGATCCGGAACGTTGGAAGCACTGTCTGATGAATCTGCCTCCGAAAATGGATTCATAATGACTCATCAAATTTAGAAGTATCTTATTGCTTGCGCACCGAACTTCGCTGCGGCAACCTTGCTTAAAATTGCCTAATGGGCGATTTAAGGCAATAGTCAGCTAAGCAGGAGAAAAAATTCCGATTCCTCCAGATTCTGTTCGATTTCATATTTGCCACTGACCACTCGTGCATGCGATTCTCAGCCACGAAAACGATTATGCACGAACTTGTATGACTTTAATCGTATTTCGAACACGGATGTTTTCAAGGATTCTTTCTTAGTCGTAAGCCGTCAATAAAAGGCAAATTTTAGAGACGATCTTCAAATTGAATAAGAAACAAGAATCGATTTGTTCGATTCATCGCCTCCGCATCGCTTGGTTGAAGAAATTGCGTGTCTTCCCTCCCGGTCAGCGTGGATGTGTTCAATTTTTGTGACGTATTTTGGGTCGTGCAAAAATATCGAAGGCGATGACGAATGGCCGTGCAAAAACCCTGCTGTGTGAAAGAGAAACTTTCCAGATGTAGTTCGCGTGTAAACAACGGGAAATAAAGCCTGCATGCGAAATTTTTTTTTGTACTTTTGTCAACTTCAACAGGCAAATATAAGGATTTCATTTGCTGACTTATAAACAAATTCAAATACTAAGCTTAAACGTTTGCACAGATTTTACGAGAACACGGAAACTAAAAAAAAATCAGGTTCTATGCAGAGAATGGAAACCACTTGATGCAGCAGCACACCAATGCGATGAAAGTTAAAGACAAGTGGGGAATGGCTTGCTCTGTCGCTCCTTCTCGCAATACCATGGAAGTGCTTTAAGACTTCAGTGATGAACTGCCATCACGTGAAGCATCGGGATGGTAAAAGTAATAAAACGGTATAAAGTTAGATATGGCTGAAAAGTAATACGTGGTCGTCGAAAATCACCGACTGACTGACCGACCTACTTGCTGATTGGCTGACCCATTGACTGAATGAGCTACAGACTGACTGACTGAGAAAAGTCTAAGCACTTTTATATAAAATCTTGG